GTCAAATCACTGAACGTGATCTGTGCATTTACATGTTTCCAAGTTTTGTACTTTTGAAAAAATGTGAACTAATCCGCAGATCTTCAGAAGCTAAGGGCCCAAGTTGTGACAGAGATCAGATCAAACCAACAGCTTGAAAATGACTTAGGTCTAATGGACATCAAGATAGGACTTCTTGTTAGAAACAGAATCACTTTGCAGGTATTAAACCAGTCTGTCTGAAATAAACTCCTTTGACTTCTAAAAAGAAATAATAAGCTAAAAAAAAAAAGGTATCATCACAAATTCTTGATACCATTTATCAACGTCGTGATATATACAACCATAGTTAATAGAAATATTTTTGTGTCTTTTTGAGAAATATTACTAGACAAACGTGGTATTAAAAATACACGACTCGTGCTGCAAAATGGTATTTTTGTATATTTTTGTTTGTGGTTTATTTTCTTTGTTGAAGGAACGTGTTTTCCCTTGTGATTAGTGTAACAGCTATAATGTCAACGGCTTATCACAGTCATATGTCTCCTGATGGACATGTCTGTAAGTTAGACACTGCTCTTGGCTAGAGAATTATTGAATTTCGAACGAGAGACACTTGGAGTTGGTGTCTGTGGCTCTTCGGTCGTTTTCTAAACTCTCCAAAACTCTTCCAGTGCAGAAGATTGGAAGTGTGCTTTATTTGAAAAAGCCCTTCGGAGTGATTTGATAGATGTTGTATTTAAAAGGAAAGAGGACCTATACAGTAAACGCTGTGATAAACTTGATAATGACTTATTTTAAGGCGCTGTGCACGTACTAATATTAGCGAGTTTACAGTCTGCTTTTTTTTTTGTTTTTTTTTTGTTTTGTTTTTTTAGGACGTAATACACTATGGAAAGAACTTAAAACGGGAAAAACAAGACATGAGTACCGCGATGCAGAGAACAAAGGGTATCAAGTCACTGAGTAAAGAAAGCCATGAAAAACTAGAAGCTTACCAGAACTTGTTTTACTTGCTTCAGACTAATCCAGTTTACCTGGCCAAGCTGATTTTTGCAATGCCGCAGAGTAGATTTACTAAATTCATGGAGTCTGTGACATTGACATTATACAACTATGCCTCTAATCCGAGAGAGGAGTACCTGCTTGTGAAATTATTTGACACAGCGCTTAAAGAGGAGATCGCGTAAGTATTAAAATTGATAAGAGAACCACTGATATCGACTCAGCATGCTGTGTCTACTGCCTGCCATGGAAATCCCTTCAACTGTTACTTTTTTTCGTGCTCAGTTAAGAAGTGTCAAGATGTTTTTAATGTAAATTCTTTCAGTAGTTGTACGGAGAAACTGTCTGTAGGTGGGTTTTCTGTAAAATATTTTTTGTAATCAAGTGACTTTACATTCATACCAAATTTCTGATTCCAGAAGGTAAGACACGTAAGTGTTGTTTTGTTTTTCTACTTTTTATGTTAGTTACTTTAGTCTTGTGCCAAAGGTGGTAGTAATGGAAAAATGGTAAATGCTTGGGTATTAAAAACGCGCGGGCATATCTCCTTTCCTCTCATCTTGATTCTACGATTTTAATGTTTGCCGCCAAAGTGACTTGACTATTCCTAATTACGTGGAGATCACTTACTTAAAGGTTTATGCTTAGAAAAAAAAATTGTTTTATGGCCGTAATAGAAAGAGTGTTTGACTAAGTTTCTATTTCTCCAGCTCAAAAGTTGATCAAATGCAGGACATCGTAACAGGAAACCCAGCGGTCATTAGGATGTTGGTTCATTTTAACCGGTGAGTGTATGGACTCAGTCGTTCGCAGTCCTTGAGACTGCCTGTGGAATCCGTTTTATTGCATAACTTTCTGAACTGTTTATTTGCTTGTTAGCTACTTGGCATATACATTCGCGCAGCCTTTCTCTAATGGCCTCCATGCTACATTTGATAAGTATGTCTTGGTGTGTTAGCATATGTAAAATGGATCTTTCAAATCTAACAAAGATTAGGGAAAATAGAAATGATAGTTTGAGCTCAGATATGGCCTAAAGAAATCTGTCACTCGTTTTGTCACGAACGCGGGACAAAAAGAAATCTGAAATGTCGATTACTAATCAGAATTTTTTGCGCTTGTTCAGAGGTACGAGAGGTCAAAGTTCACTGCGAGAGCTGCTACAGCCATTGGTTGAGGGTGTCCTAAATGACAAGAACTTGTCAATCAACACAAACCCACTTGAAGTGTACAAGGCTTGGATTAATCAAATGGAATCAGAAACGGGAACTGCAAGGTACGAATTCATACCTTTGCTGATGATTGAATTTAATAGCCAAGGCCCAGCGCCGAAAGTGAAGGGTATGCAGTTAGGACGGGTCGCGTTGCAAAAAAAAAAAACCTTCCCAGGTAGTTCCGTGTGGCACACCACATTTTAGAAGAGACATCAGTTGGACAGCCAGTGACAACACACCATTGGGTTTAAACCGATCTAGATCTCTTCCTTGTATTCCATAGGGGTTCACTTAGTCAACAGTAAGTCATGATCAACAGTGTCAAACGCCTTCTTTAGTCAAGAAAAACTACAGCATTAAGGTATCCGCAATCGACAGTAAACGCTGAAATATCCGTAATTGTACTGCTGCTTTGCATTTTGGCATATTACCCATTTAATGTGTAGTCTATAATAAGCCGGTGTGGATAATTGTTGGCCACCGTTCGAAAAGATGAAGTTGTTTGCTCTCTTTTTTGTATGTGTAGTAAGCTCCCATATGATGTGGAACCGGAACAAGCGCTGAAACATCCTGAAGTACGAGAAAGAATAGAGGCTGCCATGAAGAGCCTCACAGTAGTTACGGATACATTTTTAAACTCCATTGTACAATCTGGCGATAAAATACCGTGAGTAGTGTGTGTCTGGTAATATGGCGATGCTTGTTGTTTTGCCATTGGATGTTCAGAAACCTTTTACAGTTACCTTATGTTCTCGGTCAATACCGATAAAGCAGAGTTGTGTCTGCGCCCTTAGAAGCTGTCTATTTGCTGTCACCTTGTAATTTAAAGAACGTATCATCAATAAAAGACTCGGCCGGTAACATACCTAAGTAGTGCCCTATTGGAAATAATGTTGCTGTTTTAAATCTGGTTTGTTACTTTCGTGCTAGCTTCGGAAATGCCCTGTTGTGCTTTGATTCTGATATTTGTGTATTTCTTCAGGTATGGTATGCGATATGTAGCAATGTCTTTGAGAGTAGCTCTCGCTGAAAAATTTCCAGACGCACCAGAATCAGAGATATTAAAAGTAAGTAGGGTATTGCGCTTGTTTGATCTCTAGGTGCCCCGTGTAATTATGCTTGTGCTCCTATGTAGATATGTCAGTTATGTTTCATTTTGTTATCACTCTTTTCTTTTTTTTCTAATTACCACTGCATTACTGACTCCGAAAGCGTGGAAGGCCAAGTGAAAACATTGTGATTTGTATACAGAATACAGAACTTTATTTTACGTGGCACTCCACTTAGCTAAAAGCTACTTTACAGGAAGCCCACAAATAAACATATYAAATTGCAAAACAAAAGAAAGATAAAATTTAGCTAACTAACACTCTAAAAATTGTGTCCACTGATTTGCAGGTTGTTGGTAACTTGATTTACTACAGATATATGAACCCTGAAATCGTAGCCCCAGATGCTTTTGATATCGTATCAGTGGGCGTGGACAAATGTTTGACGGCTGATCAGGTACGTCCACGTCTTGCGCTTGATTATGCTGTCATCTTAATTCACCATGCCTGGCTTAAGTCCTTGCTGTCGTAATTACTGCGATCGATATTAAACGCCCAACTGTCAGTGGCTTATTTAGAGATGAAACTTCTGAATACCGCATTCTTAGCGGGAGACAGCAATACTCGCTGAGCGGGATAAGCTTCGTTAGTTGAGGGTCACCTGTACTGGGCTTGTCAGATTTACCTGACCTTAACGATATGGTCAGGTCTAGAGTCAACAGACAAATCACTTATGCCCTTATCTTCTAGAGAAGAAATCTTGGTTCTATTGCAAAGATTCTACAGTATGCAGCATCAAATAAAATGGTGAGTGCATATACTTAACTTGCTGTACTGTTTGAATAAATGGAAGAAATCGTTGGGTTTCAAAATATGAGCTCTTTGTGATTAACTTGGATACCAAATTTTAGAGTGTGGTCACCGAGTGGCCGCTAAGACTACCTTTACCTAACCGAAACATGGTTGCCACAGGTAGTAAAAGTAAAGAGAAAGTAGATCACTCTTCAAAGTCATGGAAGAATCAAACAATTTTGAAAACTTATGCCTTCTACAAAAATGCAGAAAGATATCCATGATAAGGGAACTTTTTGTGTCCGAGTATCGCTCATGTTTTATCCAGAAATTGTCGATATGATACCAGCGTCTCTTCTTAGAAGACTTCTTTCTTTGAATCTGGAAATGAAATGACCCAATAAAGATGTTAAAAAGACATATTAAGCTGTAACCGGAACTAAAGAAAAGGTGGTCTTCTCAGGTTGGAAGACCTTACATGAGAGAAGGTCGAGAAGCATCTGATGCGGAAACCGAGCATGTTGTTAGTACAAGATGGATTGACCATTGCACAATTGACCATTGCACAATTGACCATTGCACAATTGACCATTGAATCACTGTTAAAGATGACTTGTATTTTAGTTAATTCTATAACCTAGTGATACAGGCTCATTTAGTTGCTGTTGAGCACAAACTTAGTTCGTCTCGTATTTTGATCAGTTCTCGCGCTAAGTTTCAGTGAAGTTGACATGTGCACTAAAGTTACGTTTGGTAGGAGGAGCTCTGTTGTACTGGAGGGTAATCGGAAGCCCAACCTCTTGTTTCATTGGGCTTTGGATAAAGTCCTGTTTAACCTTTTAGAATGTTTTGCCTTGCGGTTAATCAGCAATCCTTAAACAAATAGTTCGTTTTTTAATTTGGCGTCGTTTTTGCTGCCTTTGTCTCTTAAGAGCGTGTCTCTGTAGTTTCCGACCACTCGAAATTGGTTCAAAAATAAATCTTGCCTTAAACTTTGCATGTGGATAAGGAAACCATTGCCTATCATCATAACAAAAGTGGTTTCCCTCACATTTCAAAAGTTTTTTTATTTTTTTAACAATTTTCCGCACGTAGGTCGAATCGTGAAATTGACATCGTTTGTGAACACAAAATGAGCAATCTTTATTAGGATCTCACGCTGTCAAAAATGAGTCAATA